TTACGAAACATGGTAAAGTGATAAACTTCGCGGTAGAAGCATGGTTTAAAGAGACTATCTGGTAGGCGCAAATATGCCTTACAACAATGCTGAACATCCACTGGACATAAGGCCCTAACTCAGTAGAATTTGCAAAAGCCCCAAAACCCAGTATCAGAAGGATCAGGCTGTGGCTGAATGGATGAACGAGTATCAAAGTCTACTGCCGAACTTAGCGCTAGTTCGTGGTTGCACAAAACTTTAACCTCCCTTAGCCGATCTGACCTTTCTCTTCCTATTTCCGAGCGACACATGTTTAAAGCAAAAGCGAAGAAGAAGTGTAAATTGGAACTAAGATATCGCTTGATGATAATGGGAACGATAAAGGGAAGTGTTAGTACTAGTCATGGTAACACAAATATGCTATGCGGAGCAAAACTTTTCATCTCCAACCTTGAATCGTTTTTAGGCTGGTTCGAATTTATTATCTCACCTCTAGTAAGTTTCATGTTTCTCAAAAAATTGCATCGACAAAGATAAATGCATCATAACGTCCGTAATAAATTAAGCAAATACAAAACTTAAATTAATAATTAATCATGGCAAATATTAGATAAATTTCGATTTAACCTTAAACGACTACCATAGTACTATTTCACAAATCATTGGCAAATTAGTCCCGTATGGTTTCGCTTGTTTCAAACTGTCCATTTTATGAACATATCTTGGATAGTAAATCGAGAGAGGCGTCAAACAAGGTGATGCAATATCAACTGACTTATTCAAACCAGCCATGAAATAAGTTTTCAAGACAGTCCGTTGGAAATATCAAGGTCTGAAGATAAATGCGAACTATGCTGCGAATAACAACATAGGAAGCTGAACGAAAGGGTAACCGCACAAACAAAAATGTGCAATGACACTGAAGGAGCTAAATGGCAATGGGCAGAACACGATGCAAGAAGAACCACCATCGGTGGAACAAAAGACTTCTAACTGAATTGTAAATGACAACAGACGGCCCGTTTGAATACCTCCAGATCGACGGCAGCATGAGCTGAAGAAGCTTGTTGGATTAAGGTGAATAAGAAAACAAGTTTTTGGCAACGTCTTGTTGAGTCTTTCTACCAGCAGTGGAGCGAAAAAGGCTAATAATGATGCTGATATAGATTAGTAAATGATAGTTCCATATATACACTGTAAACAGAAAATGCAACGGTACAAGAAGCAACAGGACAAGCTTACACAAACAATGGCACACCGGGAAGGAAAATAGGGTCGCCCATAAATAATGCGCTCGCAGAAGCGCGTTTTTATTTTTTGCGTTTACATATTGTGTTGATTAGATAGGTCACATTAGATCACATTAGATAGTCAGCAATCAGGTGGGCAATCAGGGGCCGCAACCATAACAGGCGTAATCACAAGGGAGTACAGCGTACCTCTTGTAGATTCTGGCATGAATACGCCGTAAGACCATATTTTCTTTGATGTTTCCAATTCAAAGATTTATACACGTTTCTATGAACAACATTCCTTGCAAGCAAATTCCTATCTCAAAGACAACCGTGCGCAATGTCATAAACGGTTTTGACGGAGTGCCAACAATAGAAAAATGAACCAGGAAAACGAGTTTATAATAAGGAATCTAGAATACTTCTTCAAGTTTATCTATGCTCTACCCTCTACAGTCATATGTGATGAATACTGGCCAGAACGATACAAAACAACGAAAATAACGTGCCTTGAAGGAAGTGTTGGTCTACGAAGCTTGAAAGCTTCAGAACACGCAATCTGAAAAGAAATCCTCGTCTGATCCGCCATTTCTCTACATAGACATCGATGGTTTAGTTATGTGATCAGAACGTAAGGGATCAGACTGACAAAATAGCCTCTCTCGGTAGAGCAGGACAGACTACAACCAAGGGCTGAATTTTCTAATTACAAGAGGACCGGGACTATTAGAGGTGTATCCTGAAGCCGTTGTTCCCGTGTCCAAAAAAATAGCGGCTGTGGCAAAGAAATGTTACAAGAAAATTCAAGTAGCGCTTGCTAATACAGTTAAATGTTCCAATCCAGCTACAGATAATAAGGAACCTCGGACCCTCGTCGTTATCATCCAATCCATCGGTTCATCTCTCTGCCTGTCAATCTTTCTCCATTTGGGTTGCGGGACAGGAGGTAGGCAGTGAATCATGCTCTTCCCCAGTCTCGTAATATTTGAGGATTAGATTACAAGCAAAATTAATCCGTGAGTTCTCCTATCGCACAGTAGGCCTACCCATTAGTAGGCTGCTATTTAGTCTTGAGATGAGCGTTGTGTGACATACAGCAACTGTGGTATTATTCCTGACAGCGATTTATAGGTGCTATTAGTCCAATGAGCTGCTGTTGTAAAGCAGGCATCCGTAATGCGCTGCTATGTCAGAAGGACAGAGACCTCTGCGTTAGCAAAGAAAAAGCGACATTCAAATGCCTCATGTCTCATGACTGCTCTAACTGAGGAAGTCAACGTGCTTTACTTGCGGCTGTCAAAAATCACTGTTAATTTACTTCCTGACTGACTTCCACAACCATGGTACTTTACAAAGTATCAGCTGCTCACACACCTTGCACGCGGCAGTCGAGTACATGAGAACTGTTGACTGCGACAAACGTATTTCATGCGAGGATAAGGCTTAAAACACTGTTCTCCAATCAGGACCTTCTCTTCTTCCAGGACATCCTGTGTAAACCCATCTAAATTTTGAGATGTGCTATGCGATCCGATCAGCTCTTCAGAGTACCTGAACATCAACAGTAAGCAATCTCGCACAACCAAAGTACGCCTCACTTACGAATGTGGTCTTCCATCGAAATCGAAATCGCTGTACAATATATTTTGACCCTGAGAAGATGTTCGGTATTGCTGCGATAATGCCGGACTTTCTAAGTAGAAAATGTCTTCGAAATCCCTGCGGCCTAAAACGAACGATTATAAATTATTCGAAAAGCTGCGCCTCTTCTGAACTTTCTTACCCAACCTCTTCCTGACTAATTCAACGCGTTGGTGAAGTTTACAGACGCTGCATAACGGACGACCAACATCGCACATGTCTAAATCAATGGCAAATGATCGAGATAGAGGATATCGAGAAAGTTACATTAAAATTGAAGTTATAAAACAAGACGTCGGTTCGTACCACATAACCTGCTCACTCTTAGTTGCCGAAGGAAAAATCTAACAGACCATCGGTTCTTGGTATTTGAACCGCTGCAGTACACATGCATCTGATTTCATTTTTAGTTAGAACAGGCTCATGCTCATAAGGAGCAATGTCTAAGAGGTGAGTACCCCCTACATGTTACAGAATAAATTTGACCACTTATCATTCGTCAAATTTTCGCCCATACCTGTCCTATCGTTCTCTAGCACTTCTTTCTTTCACTGCCTTCATTGCTCATCGCTTCCTGCTTTCCTATCTTCATTAATCTTTTAATTTTTTCCTTCCTGCCATCCTTTGTTACATGTTCCGTTTTTCCTGTTTTACCTCCCTCTCTTCCGCTTTTTCTCCCTTCCTTCACATACCCTTTCCTTATTTCATTTTCCAAATTTTTCCTACGATTTCGACTCTTTCTTCTTCTTTCTCACCCTAGCTGTTGCTCCCATTCAATCACTACTTATTTCTTTAATGTATTCTTCTACTGTGGTTTTAAATTCATGCATGCAGGTGCTCAAACACCATGGAGCTGTGGCCTACTTAAATGGTCTCCTAAGCGACTAGAAGCAAGAGGAAGATGCCAATACGCCTTTTCAATCCGGAATCAAATGAGAAATGTTATTTCTCTTAGCGGCGACATCGATAACTAGCAGCATGTAACCCATAATATCGGGTTTATTTTTATGTATTTTTCCTCTTCTTTTCGTCCACCTATTCTCACACCTTTCTTTATTTTCAGAGAGCAACAATGCATACAGATCAAAGAGCCATTAACATTTTAACCGTTAAAGTCACAGAAAATTCACTCATGATGATCTTGGTCGTTGACAGTGGAAATTTGTTAGCCCACCTCGAGCGCAGTAGCTTACGCATACACGACTGCTAAAAATCAGTCACTATCAGTCAGTGCTAAGTCAGAATACCATCAATCTCGCTCTCCGCAAATCCATCCTCGGTGTCCGAGTCAAAGGAAGTTGGCAGAGACCAGAGCACTAGTACCAATGCGAAATGGTTGTGGGTGTTTCCTTTAAACGCTAAACGCATCATACAAATTACGTGATCGGCTAACGAGACAATAACAGCCCGGATACCTTACAGAGCCCACAACTCTCCAAAAAGGAAATCTCGACTATAAACCTGTGCCAAACAACGGAGGGTCACCGTACAATCCGATCTTCAGTGAAAGCACGGTTATATGTTTCCACAGATCAACCGAAAACTGAACGGTAGACATTTCAAAGCCAAGACAAATGTAATGCTCAAAAAATGCCTGATGGGGAATATGAGGAAACTTTTTCTGTCTAGAATGACGATACTGAAAATTAGGCAAAATAATACTTTAAAGCATTCTACATCGATATCGGCACTTAATGACAGGAGGACAAGTGCCATTGATTTTCATTTTTCATCAGCTTCAACGCAAATTTCGAGAGGTAGCAGTAACGAACATTCGACTAATTGCATCTTTTCTCCAGTTGTTGGTATATAGGCCAAGATATATGCCGAATTAGTTAATTTTCATCGTTTAAAGGTAATGATAAACGAGTATCAGTCTGTGGAAAAGAAAACAAACGAGTAGTGATACTTGTCGCTGTTGTAAACACTGTTATCAAACAACGTCATTCGTCACTAGTAATGAAGATCACAGTGGCAGCACAAGTTGGACGAAATGAAAGATGAGTAGAAGTGTAAGTCTCAGCGAGATCAACATAACAACCGTCTAAATGTTTGTTATATTTCTTATACATTTTGTCATATCATCATTTAAAGCTAAAAAAATCGATGAAAACAGTCACTAATGGGAGTAGAGTTTTACAATGTGTTTAGACAGCGTGACTTACCGTTCAGACATTCTTTCATTTCGTAGTACCACGGATCACGGAGCCAAGCATTCAACGAATCACGACAGTCGACGCAAAGGTTGAGGTTGGTCGTTTCGTCGAAACATACCCAGCCATTGGTCCTGTGACTGCAAGCATCGCACGGTTCGTAGCTGCCGGTTCCAATGCTCAACGGGCAGCCTGACTGGGTGGGTAGCGTATGAGGCGAGTGCAGCTCGAAGCTTCTGTTGCAATACGGGTGGTCATTCTCTCTGCCGAGCATCAGGCGCCGCATGTTTGACTTAGGATCGTGGTCAGGGTAAAGTACCTCGAAGTGTTCGCTGTCATCCGACGATAAACAAAACTGCTTGGTCAGCTCTGGCGGGAAATGCTGATTAACTTGGACCGTACCGGTCCAATGAAACCTGCTTTCCGCCACTATTTTTTCACACATTTTCGGTTCCTGTGAGGAAGAACATACTTCTTCAGCTCGAACAACTGTTTCAGTGGTCACTTGAGTCGCCAGCAGTTTTGAAGCAACAGTGAAGCGCATATCACTCATATCCTGGAGATCATTACGAAAATATATGTGCTCGTTTAACGCTGTAAACGAATTAAAGGCTTCGAGGAGATCAGGGGAAATGTAAGGTAGTAAAAGAGAAGAAAACGCCAATCGCCCACATGGAAAGAAGCGGTTACTCAAGCGTACATTTTTCATGTTTAACGCCAGACGAATCACGGTCTTGAAAGTCTGATCGCTCATCACACCTGTAGCCAAAAGATTATTCATCTGTGAACAGTGCTTTTCACCATATTCCAGCACATCGACGAACTCGATTTTCAAAGATTCGTTCTTCGCGTATGGTTTCCATCTTTGCCAAAATTTATTGAATGGCCGAGGTTTCGTCAGACCTAACCTCTTAAGCCGATGTTCATCGATTTTCAACACCTTCGCCAATAAACGTTTCCTGGACAAGTACTCGACGAGACTTTCGCCTAACTGTTGCCCGTACCATCGCACAGCGGTACTTGAGGCAGTGGAATGTCGAAAATTGAAAGTACGCTTAAACCGGAAAAGATCAATGGGAAGATGTCGGCTAGCGCATCTACTAAAAGCCATGGACAAACATGGCATAGTCAAGATTTCGAAGTTCATACCAGAGCCAACAACAGGATGCCTTTCATCGCTGTCGCTGATACTATCATTATTTAGCAGTCCCAGACAATCAATCAAAACGGACGACGAGCTACCGCTGCTGCTGTCACGATTCATTTCTTCTGACGATCGGCGCACACCGGAAGACGACGATTCAAGTTCACCATGGAAGTTATTTACGGCGGTGAGTACTCGACGCTTTTGCTTGGCAACGCGTGTATCTTTTTCTGCTGAATACAATGTATTCTCCAGACATGTGCATGTCAGGTACTTTTGGCCCATGTCATCAAAGACGTCTTTTAAAGCATCACCATAATTACGACATCTGATCAACGGTCTCAAGTTATGACCGGAAGCAGAAGAAGCTTCGCGACGAAAGTCTGCCTTCATTGACGATTGCTTTACACTGTCCAATAACCGTTTTACACAAAAACTGTTCGAGCACGATGTCTTACGTTTTTTTGGCAAATCACTGAAGGAAGCTACCCGAAACTTCCGTCCAGTATTGGTTTGGTGTCCCTCAAAGGCACAAACAGTATTTTTAAAACCTTTTGTCAGACCATGACCGGATACGGACGATGAGACCTTGCAGCGAATATCTGTCATGGTCAACGACTGTCCTACGCTACAGTGCGACTGATCTAAGTCGGAAGTGTTGAAGGAGGAATTAGGAGAAGGTTCTTCATTGAGATCGTTATGAAACACTGTTCCACAAACTTTCGTTTCGGTGCCCGTTGTTTCGTCTTCACATGAATGAACATTGTGGCCAGAGGTCGCGAAATACGAATACCGCGGACCACTGCAATCGAAACCGTTTTTCAATAGACTTTTGAAATTGTAGCGTTTCACATTTCGCCTCAGAGAATAACCGGAAACGGACGATGAAAATTCAGAACGAAAATCCATCATCTCTGACGACTGCTCTATTTTGTTCACCACCTGCTTCATACTCGAAGTGTTACAACACGGCGCTTTAAATTCTTCCTGCAAACCATCTTTCGAGCTTGCCTCAATATTCAGCGCAGTACGGGTTAACTCTTCACTTAAGGAATGAACAACATTTCCGGAGCTGATGAAAATTCTGCGCTTTGGATCGTTTTCCTCAAAGCCATTTCTTAAAATCTTTCCGTAATTATGACGTCTAACAGATGATGTTAGACAGTGATCAGAAACCGACGAAGAAGCCTCCCATTCAACGTTTTCTACCGTCGACGACACGTTTACACCATCCTGCGAATACTTTACACCGGAATGTCTCGAAAACGACGATTCAGGCACGTCGGGAATGTCGTTTTTGAAACCTGTCCTCCACTTAAGGCCCCTATCGGTTACTTCCTTGAAACAATCAAGAGTATCTTTGGCGCTCGTGAAGGCCATGTCCTTTCGATCGTACTCCTCAAAGCCATTCTTTAAAACATTCCTGTAATTATGACGTATGACCGATGACCGGAGGCAATGACCAGCAATCGAAGAAGAAGTTTCCCAGCGAACGTTCTTTGTGGCAGATGAACCGTTGACGCGATTGCGCGAACGCTTTGTACCGAACGTGCTGAAGGTCGATGACGATGAATCAGGCTCTGGACGAAGGCTGCAGCTAAACTCTACCCTACTTTTCTGTCCCCTAACGGCCACCTGTTCTTTGGAAGCATAGAAATCACCTTCAGAGCTGGTGGGGGTCAAGTGCTTCCGATTACTTTCGTCAAAACCATTCTTTAAAACATCTTTGTAATTATTATGCTTGCTCAATGAACTTCGATAACGACCAGCAATGGATGCAGAAACTTCCGAGCAAAGGTCGTTTATGGACGACGAAGTGTTTAAGCCATACCTCGAACGCTTTACACCAGACGTCCTTAAGAGGGGCGATTCTGGTAGTTTTGGAAGGTCGCTACTAAACCGTGACCCCCGTTTTGATACCTTACCGGGTACCTTTTTTTGAGAACAGAAAAGATATTCACGAAATGATAAATCAAAGTACTCCCTGCCGCTCTCTTCAGCACACTTTTTCAAGATGTCCCAGTAATTAGGAAGTTCCGCAGATGGCATCACACTGAGTTCAGAAACGGACGATGAGGTTTCATGACAAAAGTCATATATGGCCGACAGCTGCTTTACACTATGCGGCGGCCGTTTTAAAACGGTAGATTTCCGGGAGGTTTTCTGAGAATCTTCATCAAATGCTTGCCCTAGTTTCTGTCCACTGTTGGCTTTGGCTACCTCTTCTTCAAAGGAATGAACGCCAGTTTCGGAGGATGTAAAAGTTACGTCCGAATCGCTGCCATTAACATTCTTCTTTAAAATTTTCCAGTTATTATGACGTCTGATTAAACGTTTTAGACAGTGACTGGAAACAGACGACGAGTAACGCTGAAAGTCCATCATCCGTGACCCAGAATGCTGCTTTACACCAGAAGTATCCCAGCAGCACACCTTAAATTTTTTATGGAAATCTCTGACGAATCTCGTCTCCCGTTTCTGTGTGGTATCGGTTAGCTTTTGTTCAACGAAATAAACGGCACTTTGAGAACGCGTGAAAGTAAGGTGGCTTTTTCTGTCGCTGTCATCTAAACCGTTGTTCAGAATGGCGCTATAATTATGGCGTCTGGCAACTGGCCTGAGACAATGGCCGGTAACGGACGATGAGGGTTCGCAGTGAAAGTCTGTCGCCAATGCCGGATGGGTAACAGCGTCTGACAGCCGTTCGATGGTTGGAGAGGAACCATCGTTAGGGTATGTTGGCTGAGGCGCTTCATGGACATCGTTTTTCGGCTCACCACTAGGCACTGATGCACTACCTTTAACAGTATTTTCTGAATATGTTGATGTTCGATTTTTTCGCTCGTTGTTCAAAAATTTCCTGTGATTTCGTCTGATCAAATGTCTTAGATATTGCCTGGAATTAAACGATGAGGATTCACAATGAAATGACGGCATCACGCATTGCAAACAGCGGTTCACATCGCAACTGTTCGATGAAGGGGCATCACGATCTTTAAGGGGATAATTCTTCGATTTGGCACCAAACTTTGCTTCACTGCTTGTTGTCATCCATCGCTCAGTAGAAAGGATGTGATTCTCAACACAAGCAAAAGTCAGGTGCATTCGATCGCTATTAAGACCCTTACTTAAAATATCCCTGTAACTCTGACGCTGGATCAACGGTCTGAGACAGCGACCCGACATGAACAATGAGGCATCATCGCAATCCGACTGATTTACACCATACGGAACCCGATTTTTACCATGAGTGACAGAAAGCGACGATTTTCGACGGATACAGTTCCCTCTGCCAGAATCATGACCGCACTTCAATCCATTTTTACCTTGTTGTTCATCACAAGAAGAAACCGTTCTCTGACGGTGGTTATGGTTGCCGTCATGGAAACCTAGTTTTGCCATATCTCTATAATTAAGACGCCTAACCGCTGGTCGCAACACATGAGCCGAAACCGGCACCGAGGCTTCCACGGAACGATTCGGCCCCGTCGATGCCAAATACAAATTGTGCAAAGACTGTTTTGAACGGAGAGTATTTGAGTACAAGTACGATTCTCGTCTGACATCTTTACTGCGTTTCGAGTCACCATCAGGTCCGCTGCCGCTTGCCCCATCATCAAACGAATAATACACCTTATTGGAAGTGTCGAAGGCCATTGATTACTTTTCGAACGCACGACTCGGTTTCTGATTGAAATGCACCATGCGGCCACATCAAATATTCATCAGAACCAATTTTCAGGCACTTGCATCGTCGGAAAACAAGTATTCAAAACCACATTCACGACCAACGAATTTCTTCGGCAATTCGTATCAGCAGGAGACCAGTAAAACGTCAAGAAGTTTTTACGATGGCATAAAGCTGATGAATCTCACACCGTGAAGTTCAAATTTAACAAACAAAGTTGTTATAGACAAACGTAACATTTACAAAACTGGCGTTGCTCAATCAAGCTGAGAAAAGGTCTTCATACACAATGGAAAACAGCAAGCTTTGAAATATCTAACACAACACTTCTAATCAAGTGGGGCCCAAAATATAGGAGCAAATAAAACCTTGCACAAGACAAATAGAAATTCTCATCAAACACACCGACTTTCACATTTAAACATAGATTCTACAATTAAAACAGATTGTACACTTCATACTATACCTGCAAATCTTATGGACTAGTGCCTTCCAGCTTGTGCGCACCGTAAACTCTTTTATCTATATCATGAAACTCGCTTATTTTTGCTCTACAGTCACTAGTAATATTTCAGTAAGTTAAATTTAAAAAAAAATCCGCCTGCATAATGCGGCCATCGCTCTCCAAAAAATTGACCTAACTGCTACCTGCCGCGCCATAATTAGTGCTAGGTAGCATCAGATTGTATAAGTTCCGGACGGAATGAACGTAGTATCAATGAAACTGATTACCCTACATGCAGTAAGTTTTTATCGACCCATGTTTTATTCATCAATTGGTAATATTATTTCATTCAGTCTATTAACCGTCGTTGGTTTTTCGTATCAAAGTCATTATGTGGCATGATCAGTGGCCGGTAAAATGAACAAATGCACAGAACATTCATTCATTCATTCATCTTCCATCGCCGCTTCTCCTTTCGGGTCGCGAAGGCAGGCGCGTCAGACGGTGCTTCCAACGTTCCCGATCCTGTGCCAGAGTCTGAGCTTC